ATACATTTTCGCTAAAATTATGATCTATAAGCAAATGTGGTTAGTGACTAACATTGAGATCTAAGATGTGCATTTCATCCTATTAGATACTGGTCATCTGGATGTGCCTACATCTTAGCGTTGACGTTAAAATCATTGTAACGTAAGACAATACAAAGGTAATTGAAATAGGATGCACATATGCTCATAAGAGACTGATCAATAAAAGTCGTGAACATCAATGGGAATATTCAAACAAACAATACGAAATGAATTTAATTGTAAAATATGTTACAAAGTGTTTATTGACATATTTTATTAACACTTAAACAGTTGAAACAAAACACATAAAACTACTTGAAGATGATTAACCACATACGTATAATTCATTTCATTCAAGCATTTTCAACAACAAATATGCAATCAGTGACCTAATTTTTTGAGAATTTTATCTTTAAATAAGATTACTGACACCGTTGCATAAATGATTTGCAATGAAACAATTCAACAACTGTCAATACTTTTGTTTCGTTCTATTTGGGACTCGTCAGATGGATGTACCTGCATCTCAGTGTCGATGTTGAAATAGGACGAAACACCCATCCTGGATTCCACTGCTAGCCACTATCCATCTTTGCTTAAAAAAGCTTGTAAGTTAAGGCTACATTGAGGCAATCTGCACAGGATGCCCATATGCCAACATGAGACTAATCAATTGCAGTCTTAAATAACAATGGGGAGGTATAAGTAAAACCACACAAAGTAAACCTGTTAATATTTCTTCTCTAAAAATCACTAGCATTAATTAGCAAATCGAACCATAGCAGCACCATCTATCCATAAGGTACCTCTTATTTTTGTAAATATCACCCAAAGATTTTTAGTTTATATTTATATCCAAAATTGAAATCTCTTCTTTCAGCAAGCTATTACTATAAACAATAATGATATAAATGTTTGTTTGTTCCTCCTTTTTAAAAGAATCCCATTAGCTTTAAAATCTAATTCATTATTCATTGTTTCTTTGTTTTTTTTCAGTATAAGTGCAATTTAAGATTATTTTCAATAATAAATTTAGCAATATCTTTATTAAAGATTTTTTTCATTTAAACCAATCATTTTTTTAATTGCCATTTTGTCTTAAAATTTTAAACATAATTATGATCACCGCTAATTTTGTGACGGTTACTATGGTGATAGCTAAAAAAATTTTTTTATTTTTCTTAATGTTATATTTAGTATCTATATAAGAGTAAATTAATGAACGATTTATTACTATCACTAAAATATGCTATTCATTTACATCTGAGCAATAATAACAACAACAACAACAAAAAACGTAAACACCTTTTTTATATCAATTTGCTTAATATGGAGAAAAAACCCTATAAAACAATACTAAAAATTTTAAATTATTCATATTACAGTTACAATGGTTATGTATCCTATTTCTTAGTATTGATTAAATTACATATGAAGTATTATATTATCACTATAGTTTTCTTTTTGTTTAGATTTGATATAAATGAACAATTGATATTTTGAAATTGATTGATATAAATGCCTACCGGGAACAATTTTATTCAACTAGATTTATTGTCATGGAATACTTCAATTAAATCAAACATTGTTTGTTCAATATATATACGTATATATAAGTCATTTTCATGGATATGACTTTATTCGTTAAACTGAAGTGTTTTCGAACAGTTGATGAACTGATCTCTTGATATAATAGAAATTCATTATGTTTTATCATTAATTCATAATGAACAATTCGGTTGACAGAATGGTCATAGGTTTGGGTAGACGATTTTTTAAGCAAAGATGGATGGTGGCTAGCAGTGGAATCCAAGGCGTGCGTTTCGTTCTATTTTTGGGACTCATCAGCCGAATAAGAAGATTTAAATAAACAATACAAACAGATCATTATTATTGTTGTTTGAATTAACTAAAGAACACTAAGATAAACATTATTATATGATAAAGTCAATTAGTTTATTGAAGTCTTTCATTTACAATTAGGCAGATAGTAAATTACACCATCTAAGAGTAAATGTTAAAAATATGTATCATTTTTACAAATTTCCTTTCCTGAATAAAACCATATATATTCACTATTGTAAATAGAAATCCTTATCTGCAAACATTTCCTTTCCACATATATTTTACATTTAAAATATACTGAACAGTGATGAAAGATATTCAGGTCCACTGCTGAGGACGAAACGGCCGTCCAGTGCTTCCAGGTTTTCCATGGTGGTCTAGCTCATGATCTCAACTGTTGAAATTACTACAATCTCCACAAAACCCCTTCTGAAAATAATAATAAGTTTAAAGGTGTCAGTACCACGATTGAACTTGATAGTTTCAAATAAATTGAGCATAGCGTAAAGAATGAACAATCAATATATTTTTGTTGTATCCTAATAAATAGAAAAATTATATTTCTGACGTTTCGTGACTTAATGTAAGTCAACTCCTCAGTATAGTATAACAAGGATGTAAATAAAATTAATAGACGGAATATTGTAAATATATACCCTATTTGAGAGAACGTTTTACAACATTGATTGTGACAACAGTTCAAAAGGCCAGAAACAAGTGATTATATGATGAATAAATATTGATAGGAATATAGTGAGTGGAGCTCAGTTGATTAAATAAGATTATTAATTTGGCAGATAGTTGAAATAAACATACAGCGAGAAAGTATTTATCACCAAGGCAACACATAAATCAGGTTTTTGACGCCTGATAGCAACGGTTTCAGCAAACTTCAGAAGACTTCAGCTTGGCTGCTTAGTAATCAAATTAAAAGATGTTTGATGATTGCACTGTTTAGTCTTTTGTTCCCTTGTTCTGAGATGTTTTGGAAAATCTAAGATATGCCCTCCTTTTGGTCAATGTAGCTGCTTTGGCAGGTATACATAAATTTATAAATACCGTAAGCGGTAACACCATTGTTATACTATACGAATATGTCTTCAATATAACTTCCAATCAAAATCTTTCATGTAAGTAATTTAAACCCATTATGTAATTATCATTTCAAATATGACAGGTTGTAAGCGGCTGACAAGAACCTACGAAATAATATGAATTCATGCTATTCTGCTCGAATCTTTATTCTTTCTATTTTCGAAATGATAAACGGAACTATATGTATGAAATTTCTCAAAAGTTTGTTGTTATATTCACTTGCTAGATAATATAACTCACAAGGTTTTATTAACATCATCAAGGTTACTTAATGGACAAAATAATAAACAGAATATAGTATTGACATAATATAGAATGAACAAAATATCAGGAAAGTTTATATAGCAACATGGTTTACTATACAAAAGGATACTATTCAATTACATGTCACTTTGTAATAGTAAGTAATTTTCAGTAATCAGCAAAATGTAGACAATAGTGATATCTTTAAATAATTCAGTAAAACATAGTAGTAAATGTATCATAGTCAAAGATACAAATAAATTATTTTATTATTATTATTATATAGTTAATACAATTACTCTTTGTTCAGTAGTATAATTCATTTATTAGGTGAGAAGATTTAACGTTTCTAACTGAATCGTCATAATAATGTTCATGCTTTAATCATTCTATAAAGTAATTATATTAAGGTAGACTCAAATGTAATATAATGATTAGAAATCTGGAGAAAGCTCTGGATTAAAGTATCATTTATCGTTTTCTATTTTATGAATAAGAATGAAAAAGTGTATAATTAAATCGACATTTACTTAGGAAGGGTTTGTAACTTGTAGGATATATCAATATTTAATTTGTGACTTTCCAAATGAGAGTACATTTGTGATTAAAAATTATGCTATGTCTAAGAAATATAGCTATGTTAACGAATATACCGATGGTCACCTAATGTTAGAAAGCTTGATGAACTTGGAACTAACATCACAATTCCGTCAACAATGAACGTGATATTTAGTGGCGATTGTCAACAAAGTTCTGGGCTTCTTCCTATCTACTACCAACCACCTTATTTCACGCCCGTTGTGTAAGTTGACAGCTTTTGTTACTAAGTGGCCTTATGTAAATGAGGCTCTGAACACTCGTTTTTGGCTTCATTGCATAACTCAACATCATTTTGCACGTGGATTACGCAAAACATTCTGAAAGAATGAAACTTATGTAATGAATTGAAACCTGAAATAGCATTTAAATTATAATCATATGTCACATAATTACCTAAAACTGCTACATGGAAACAATTACAAAAAATATCTTTTAAAATACGATGAAAAATTATCAATACTGACTAAAGACTTTCGAAAAAATATAAAACTAATGTTTTTTTATTCATAATGTTAACAGTACCAGTTAAAATTCTATATCCCATGACTTGATCATTTCTACAGTTTTTTGATCCACTAAGTTATTATTATTATTATTATCAGCTTTATTCAATATTATATTTTTGGTACAATATAGAGTATTTCAACAAGTTTCCGTTTCTTTCTTGTTGGTCGGTCCTGGCGATAAATATTGAGTGATCGCCAGTTAGATGTTAGCAGTTCAGTAAATGAAAATTTGAATAATGTGCATTCTTTTCGCTGTATATTGCCAGCAATCACATTGTCTCTTATTGATTTTTTTTGTAACTTTGACAACGAAAGATTGTACACTTTTCAGAAACGCAGCAGAATAGGTTATGCGATTAATAAATATAATGATATATTAAAACAAACAAAAATAGATAACTTGTTGAAATATCTAGATGGCAGGAACAGGTAGCCCAGATGCTCAAGCAGGCCACTCTTTTATAAAATAACTTACTTCGTTTTTACAGTTTCACATGTCTCAAAACAATAGAAGACATAAATATTACACAAATCTCTAAATGTTTTGTTGGAAATACTATAACTTCATGTTTTAAAATAGTAACTTAATACACAATTATAATCGAGATATTGAACAGTTTAGCCTGACCGATTATGATAAGTAGAAGAGTTTAGGAATGTATATTTTAACCATATTTTTTACCGTTTCAGATTCATTTCATATATTCGTTGGTGATCTAGCTCCAGAAGTGCAAGATGAAACTTTGTTGGCAGCATTTTCTAACTTTGGAACAATTACGTAAGTTAATCAATTTCAAGATTATCAGATCGATATTTCGAAATGTTAGATTATATCATGTGAAAACTTACTTCCCCTCATATGTTTTCCGACTTGTCAGTGATAGGACACTGAATTGAGGAATGATAGTATGTTCATCAATGATGTCGATGAACTATAAAATGGACTATAAAATGATGGACTATAAAATGATTAGTCCTAGAAATGTAATAAAATTTAGTTGCACCGCAGTTGACAGTATGCCACGATGAGTGCTTAAAACGTCGTTCAGCAAACGTCAATTTATCTCTGAAATAATATTTTCAAACTATTCACAGTAATATTATCAACTATTGATTACGCAAGTTTATCTATTTTTGCAGTAAAGCCAGGCTATGGCTAGTATTAGAGTCTATAACGAGTACCTTGTTCTTTTAATAATATTTGATACGTCATATTTATATTCTGCCATTCATTTACAATCAAGTTTATTCTTGCAAAAGCTTGTTGATATTCATTTCTAGTTATTAGCATTGAAGGATTCAATATATTTTCGCTAAATGACTAGGATTAAATGACATAAAATAAATTTATGCTATTAGCTGTAAAGCAATCTTCTTTATGTATAAAAGACAAACGCCAAAAAAAGACACTGGATTATTGAATTACTACACATTTAGATGCTTTTTTGAATGACATTCATTTGTTCCAATTAAAACTATCTATATAATATGAAGGAAAGTTAAAATGAGGTATTTTAGACATAGGGAATAATGAAAGTATGTATGTATCATAGTTACTGTTACAGTCAGTCAGTCAGTCAGCTACAACGTAGGACCAGGCACATTGTTAAGAAGTACGTTTCCACAGATATCGTAGTTTTTCTCTTAGTGGCTAGAAAAATATTTTCTTTCCGTTAAGTTTGTTTACAAAATGCCACAGTTACTTTCTTCTTAGTTAATGACTATTTTTAACAAGGTATCTATACCAATTTATCGATTCTAGTTTTTCTTCAATCAGACAGCAATTTATACCACATTATTACAACATTGTTAAATGTTCTGTTTATTAATTAAGATAATAACTTTGTACATGATCATCATCAGGAACAGATGTAGATCACTTAATTTTTTTGAATATAACATACAAGATATACTTAAGGTAGTTCACATTTCTTGTTACTAATTAATAATGAGTCAGATTTATGTACACTGACTTTTTTGTATCTATTACCCATAGCCTAGCAATAAATCAATTGCTAAGATTAAGATGCAATTGAATTTTAAACATTACTAAACCCCTTTATATATAATTAAAAATAATTGATTATCCATAATCTAAACCATTTGATAATTTCCAAAAAAAAAGTGTGGATAAAACGATGTAAATCATTCCTATCTCCTATATGCTAATAACCATTTTCACACCATGAATCCTACAAACGTCTTAGTTTCAATTTAATGACACACTAATGAATTCATACACATGGCAACCTGTGTCAACAACTAATTAATTATCTAAATGAAGAAATTAGAAGAAAAAAAAATAGAGAGAAACTATTCACGTCTATTTTTCTTTTTCTTTTATTTCATTTTATGAGTATTTTTGTTCCTGATATTTATAAGAGAAAAAAATTTTAAAAAAAAAGATATAAGATGACAGAATTTAATTAACAAACATCATTAGATAAATATAATGGAAGGATAGAAATAAGAAATGAGAAATAAAATAGAGAAATTTCTTAGTTGATAATAGAAAACAAAAAAAACATTTGAATAATTTAATCTGGAAAATGTCAGTATAATTTAGATGAAGGACGAAATAAATGGATGATTGGGGGTGGGTGGGAAGAGGGTAATTAGTTATAAAATTTAAAAAAAAGGAATTAACAGTTTCTTCTTAGAACAACATATATAAGCGAACAATATTGTTTTCGATTAGATCCTCATCAGGCTTTACTCTAATATACAGTAATATTTATATGCATATACGAAATGAATTAAACCAATCAAGGTAGTTTATAAGTCAATGATAACAATGGAAAAGATTACATAATAAGTAAAATGTGAAAAGTACAAGTTGGTGGTGTGACAACAGGTGCATTAGTTTTGATAAGCAATAATAATAAAGGTTCAAATCAATGTTACATAATCTGAAATAAGTCAATGATTAGAAAAATATAGAAACTGCGATAACAATAATAAAATTATAAGATGACGTAATAAGAAATGTTCAGATAATTGAACCATGAAACGTATAGTTGAGAGAAAATAAAGTGATAGGAGGGGGGGGTGAAGAAAAATAATAAACGAAGAGAAAGTTAGAAAAGGAATAAATAAATAAATCATTTATTAATTAATGCCAAGGGAGAGATAAGGGAGTTACAAATTTCTTCTGAACACAAAGACTTGGCTTGTTGGTTCGGATTCCTATAGCTTCTGCTATGTGTAAGAGACGAGATCGAACACCATAAGGAAAACTAGTTTCTTCCTAATTAAATACTAATTTATTATATAAATTGAACAGTTAGTATAGTGTATTCTATTTATGTCGACAAGTTTAATTAGTATGTAATACTAATCAGATATTGAAACAGTGGCAACAAAATGTAAAGAAGATCAAGTTGAAGAGTAAGAAAGAATATTGAAAGATATTACGAATAGGAAATATTATGCAAAATGTAAAGGATAAATGATGGAAAGTTGAAAATGAAGTATTCAATTTATGGTTTTAATATTTAACAACAAACGTTCTGTAATTTTGTACAAATTTATTTGGTTGTCCACACATTTATTCTCGTTCATTACATTCGGTGCTAAAGAGAAGTCCGGAGAAGCGTAGTTCTGTGAATGCCGTTGTGGGGCTGAGTAGAGAAGTCGCTAGTTAGGGTGATTTAGTGCGACAAGTTGCAGTGGGTGGAGTGTCTCGAGTTGGCTGTAGCACTTGCTGTCGACGGATAGGAGCAATAGGATGGATTGGCAAGTCGCTGAACGTCTCGGCTGGTGGGTGAATTTCGCTTTTAAATGAACCCAGCAGGTCGACATTCTTACGGAGGTCAGCGCGCCGGTGAACTTCTCACTCTAACGGAGAGCGTGTCAGAGACTGCGGCAAAGACGAAAGGGGCGCGGTGAGCGGAACCACGGCAAGAGTGACTGTTTAAACGGGGACAAGTTTCCTTTATGCCACTTATGTCGACTTAAGTAATATATAACACCAGTCAAAAGTGGGATGCCTGACGGCAGAAGTTTGAAAATACACATTTGAAGAGAACAGGAACAGAGAGTGATTGTTGTGTCAATAAAGATACGATAAAGTTTGCGACAACTGATAGAGCATTTTAAAATAAAGGATTGAACGTATGGTTTTCATATTGTACCAAAGAACTCTGTAATTAAAAAAATACATTTGGCTCTCCTCACCTGTGTTTTCATTCATTTAGATATCATTTATTATTCATATGAATTTATGATTACAATGTGGTGAATTCTATAAAGGATAAACATCTTAGACGACACAACAATAATGTCGATAACTGTAGATTATATTCGTGTCAGTTTTGTGCACAAAATATGCTGATTTTTTCATAATTTTATACGATATGACTTCACACAAACAGACTAGCACAGCTGATGTTTAACGATATAGAAAAATGGTACTTGGTACAATTGCTAGACTCGAAGGATTATTATATAGTTTAGAACTTCATAAGTCATCTGTTACCTGACAAGTTGTACTATATTGGTTTGACTAGATAAATATAGACTTTAGACTGAGATATTCATTTGGATAATCATGAAATCAATATTTAAATTATTGTTCAGTTTATGTTCAGATATAACTTTAGTCGTATGAATACTGACTAATAAACGTCCCCTATTAACACCAACAGACAATCAGTACATTCGGAAACATCTTGATTCTAATTATAGTCTAAATAAAACTGGAACATTTTTAGGAATCACTCAAGTTTATTATGACGTGAAAATAAATTACACTTGAACCATTTATAATATACCATGTAATAGTCATATAAATCAATGTGGAAATCTCTTTAAAAATTTGCACTGATTGATGAAACTGTTCTCAGTTGTTGTTTTTTCTTATTACAGTTTGCAGTAATTTTCAATCTAACTGTAAAGACTGAAATAAGTTAAACTATTATTTACGTTGGTTAAACTTTAACCAAAAAAATACTTTTCTTGAAATACTGGTAAGAATCGTCAAATAAAGCTGAAAGGCAGTATTTATTCCTCATCTTCTAAATTTCAATTTTCAATATTTATTTTATTCTTTTTCTACAAGATGTATTCCGAACATATAATCCTTCTCATTATTACAGGGAGTATGAAGACCGTCTGGTTTGTAGTAGTGACTTCATCCGAATAATTATTAAAAACCAAGAATTACTGAATCTTTAAACAGTTGAGATCATGAGGCGATTGAAGCTAGACCCCCATGGAAAACCTGGAAGCACTGAACGGCCGTTTCGTCCTATTGTGGGACTTCCCAGCAGTGCGCATCCACGACCTTGCCTCGCGGGATTCGTACCCAGGACCTATCAGTCATGCGCCAGGCGCTTAACCAACTAGATCACTGAGCCGGCATCCAACGGTGTTAATGTATAACTTCAACTAATCCACGAAATTGAGCGACATACTAGTGACTAGCTTCAAGATATATATCCTGAATTTCTAGTGAGAAGCAGTGACCAGTAGAGTTCAACCGGGTCTGTTGTGAGGTAGTAACTCACTGATGACAATGTTGGATGTGTCGCTCGATTACGTGGAATAGTTGAAGTTAAACATCAACACCGTCGGATGCCGGCCGTCTCAGCGGTCTAGTGGTTAAATGCTCGCGCGCGAGACTTATAGGTCCTGGTTTAGAATCTATCGAGGCACTTCCAGGTGCTTCCGGGTTTTCCACGGGGGTCAAGCTTCAATGGACTCATGATCTCGACTGTTTAAATTACTACAATCTCTACAAAACCCCTTCTGATACTAATCACTGAATCATTGTTCATC